CATATCGAAATTATTTAAAAATTAGGCATTAAATCTGGTACATTAAAGAAAAATAGTAAAATTGTCTAAAAAGACGACTGGGGACGAGATCCTAATCACTCTCTAACCTACATTCTCATTAGAAGGTGAATTCCGGAGTTTCTCAAAGCACTTCAAAGTAGTTCCCTGCAACTGAAGCGGCAATGCTATGATAAACATCTTGTTTAGAATGACTACCTATGACTGGAAACAGAAGACATTCGCAAATAGCAGCTTGCTCTTCAAGTTCTTTGAAAATGAAGTGAAGTTGTCGGTAAATTCCAAGGGACACGAAACTACAGCGCAACCACGGATCTTACTCGAGAGGGAATCCCTCCTTTTATTTCAACATATCGAACGCCGAGAAAGGAGGTAATCGTGACTGGTGTTTCCTCAAGCCATAAAAAATTCAATAGCGATGAGTCACAGTTAATGGTAAGACATTTTCGATAACCACAAATTCCATACGCGACTAATCAGAAGAATTCAATCAAGAAACATGCGTTGGAGGCAGATGGGACCAGTGCACAAAGCGCTTCTCCTTCTGGTACCGACCCTTTTCCACATCTCTCATTCTATCTGCTATCTCCCTAAGCATTTCTAACTCCATGCCATTCTTCCGACAACCGAAACATTCGGCTCAAAGGGAAATACGTCTAATGTGGCACTACTTCTCGGCCTAAACGTCAAACATCAGTTCTCGCTCGCTACGTTTACTGACCTATTTCGTCCAATCGTAGAACATTCTCGGGTTCAGAGAAGTTTCGGTTCGGAAGAGGTTGGGGGCGGGGCATTTTGCACTTTGCTCCCTACCGTCGACGTGTCGAGCCATCTAGAACACTATTCCATGCGCTTACAAGAGTTGACAGGCTTTAAGATGGTGGTTCAACGAGCCTGCTTCAGGTTCACAAGAGTTAACAGGTTTCATCAGACTGATTTGTAAACCGGAACTAGTGAGGCAGCGAAAGTGCCAAATGCCCCGCCCCCTCACGTTGCCGAGCGCGATTGTCACGAGCAGACAAACAAGTACACAAAGAAACACTATCAGTCTCAACCACAATGCTGTTCACCTGGTTCAATAACTTCCACTGGCAAGTAGTCTTGATTTGTTGTTTGTCACAGAGACTCCGCGTTTATGAATAAGTAAACAAAGAAACTCTATCAGTCTCAACCACAATGCTGTTCACCTGGTTCAATAACTTCCACTGGCAAGTAGTCTTGATTTGTTGTTTGTTTACACAGAGACTCCGCGTTTATGAATAAGTAAACAAATAGGTGAAGAAAGAACTCACTGTGAACTGCAATCCAATCGTCAAGATTTTCGTTGGCTGGTAATCT